TCCAAAACCTGGTAGTATGGTGGTGGCAGCAAATCAAGACATCAGCTGCGCGTACAAAGTGAAATTTGATTGTATTTATGACTTTCATCCAAGAATGTAGATGAAGAGCTACTGTGACCTTCTGTAGTCGTACATAGTCTCTAGCTTTTACCTGTTTTTGTTTAAACAATTTTTCTTAAATATTGTTTTGGATTATAGAAGAGAAAGAGGAGAAGAAAAGGTTTGAAGGTATTTCTCTGTCACTTCTGTCACTTGTATCAGTATGAAAGCCCTTCAACGCACCTCTAACTTCTGCTACGTCGACGAAACATCTCGTTCCTTTGTGCTCGCCGACGGCGTCATCCCTCTCCAAATCATAGGTTCAGTGCAACTTTCTATGCAGTTTGGCACTGAGCTCATTAACTTTTACGCTTTCGTCACTGGATTCCATGGTCTGTGCTTTCTTCTACAGCTAATGTGTCGACAAGAAAGATCAATACCTATAATTCTATTAAATGCGAGCAGTTCTTGCTACTAAATGATGCCGAGAAAACCTCTGTTTTCATTTTTATTCTCAGAAACATCTAAGAGCCCTGAGATATATTTCACCTTAAAAACTCAGGCCCAAATATTGGTATCGATTTCTGCGTAAATGCCTGGTCATACGTCGGAAATCCTGTAAAGCAATATTAACTCAACAAGGAAGGTCTTTCAGAATGCACCCTTTTGAGCGTCTAAATATAAGTAAGATCTGGGTGAATCCATAGGAAAAATACCACTTTCGTGGAAGACATTACAGATTTTTTTTGATATACTGGTTCAACCGAAGACCATCTGAAAAATATTTAACACGGAAGAGAATTAAATTTGGCCTAGTTATTTTCTAAATAAGAGGAACGTCTGTGAGTGGTTTAGCATGCGAAGTTAGGTTGTGGCTCGGTCTCTCGAAAATGACTTATTTGCATTTTGTGCTTTCAGAAGAATAAAAGTAGGGTACATCTGCATTGTTCTAGCATTTTCGGGTGACATTAGATCGCTCACAAGGAGCTCGGTACTTGATTTCTGAGTGAACGTGCCGTCAACGTCTTGTTTTTCTTTTTTTTATGTAAGTGTTATAGCGAGAGAGGCTTTCTCGTGCTGTTCCTAGTTCCAAAAATATTCTTTCGAGTGTGAACGAGGAAGTCGTGAATGGAACAACTCCTTGTATTTTGTCAAAAGAATAAGTTAGTTGAGGAATAACGACTACCTTAGGTGGCAGAATGTAGAGAAAATGCAAGAAAATATGTCGTTTTGCCCTATTTTTAACGGTTTTCTTGAGTAAAGACTACTTTTCACTGATGTTTACTGATGTTTCAGAGACATCAATGTTCATCAATGATTCAAGTCTACTTTTCACTGATGTTCATCAGCGCTCCAAAGACATCAATGATCACTGTTGTCCATCGAGTTTTTGGAAATACGAATGTCATTGATGATTTGTATCGGTTTCTATACATATTCATCGGTGCTAAGAAATTATTCAGTTTCATTGATAAAGTATGCATGCTTTCATTTTGGTGTGAGAATAATAATTCAAATGACCTTTATTTTGTGTCATTCAAAACAGAATCGATATAGTCTACATTATATATATTTAGAAATTTTTGCAGAGAGTGAGAAAAAGAAGGAAAGTAGTAGCAGATTTGGACGAATAGAATATTTCAATGCATTTCTCGACGGAGTTTGGTTACGACTAGAAAGGACTGACTCACAGACTTTTGTGTCGAAGAACGAGATAGAGGCTCGTCAGTATTTCTTACTGTCGTACGATTTGTTGAGAAGTCTATCAGCACCGCCGGAGTGATAAATACTCATATAGAAACAATTCTTTGGGTTTTACAAGACTTTTTATCGCCTAAGATAGATTAAATTTGATTGAAAACGAGTAGAGTAATTGATTGTACATCGTTTTCAACCGTTTAATTTTTCATTCTATTATAATCGATTTGAACCGCACCATAATCAATTAAAATCTCATCGCAGGCGCTTGATTTTTATTAGAAATCATTTGTACTTAGGGCATATCAAAAACAGTAATTTTGACACTGCAAAACCGTATAATAACCCGTTTCTGAAACGGTCCTTATCGCCTGCATGAATTTTTACGCCTCGCTTGAAATGTCTATGGAGAAATTTCAAATTTGTCGTCTTCACGTGCAATTCTTCTCAAATGCTGCTCTACTCTTTCGTACAACTTCTCGTTTCCCTATGCTTCGTCGTCATTTGCTTCTTGTTTGCATCCGATTTCTCGTTCAAGACTGTTGGCAACGCCTATGGTACGCCCGCTGACGGAACAAGGTGTGATTTTATAACAGCAAATGACCGGATGGCACTTTGACAGAAAATCACGCTAACTTTTCTGATTACGAGTTCGTTTGACTGTCAAGTGCGAAAATCTCGAGAACACTCCAAGATACCGGACAGTTTGAACAAATGTAAGCTCAGAAAACTAACTTGATTCTCTGTCCAAGTGCTCTCCAATCATTTTCTGTCATAAAATCACACTCTGTCCGTCAGCAGACGTACATTCTGTCATCGATGAAAATCAGTTTGAGATTTCATCGATGATGTTGCATTATTCATCGGCATCGATGAACATCAATGATTTCGTAAAAAATTGATGAACACCGATGTTTTTCGAGATAATCGATTTCCATCGATGATTAATTTCATCGATGATGTTGTATTATTCATCGACGTATTTCACGCATTATAATCGATGATTTTCCGGTTTTTAACCCGATGGGTGAGCCTTGATGGAATCCTTATCAGTATGAACATTATTCTCTTTTGTATGCACGTGAAACTGAAAGTTCATATTTTTACTCGGTATCGCTCCGGAATCTGACGATTATGGAATGTTCATCACGTCCAAGTCACCGAAGATATTAGCATATATCTATCGATCGTTGTTATAGAGAAAATTCATTCGATAACTTTGCTTACCACTATCAAGTAGAGTATATTATGTTTGAGAAATGAATTTCGTGTGTCTGAATTTTCTAAGGCTCGTTTCGATCATTGATATAGCTGGTCCTTTCAGAAAATACTTATTGTCATCACCGTGAAAAACTGCAAGAGGTGGTTCTAATATGAGTTTCTAACTGTGATTCAAATCAGTCCTCAGCAGTATCTTTGAATCCTACCCGATGATCACCGTTCACATCAGGAGGTATCCTACATTTTGTTACAAAACTGTTAATCCTAATTGTTCCTACCCTGAACTATATGGATCCTTCTATATCTCTCTCGAAACTTTGTCGAGGAAAGCACAGACCCCGTAAAGCGCGGCGATCATCTCCTTCTTCTACATTTTCCAAGCCATGCATTCAAGAATGCACTTCCTCGCGTCACATACTGACCAAAAAAGGGCATCCGACGTCCGCCCATGTCGCCAAAACCAAAAAACTTTTTCAAATTTTACGCAGAAAAACGCATGCAAAAACTTAAGTGAAGTAATGCAAAATATGGTTACACGAGCAAAATAAATACAATATTTTGTGTAAAAAAAATTTTGCGTAATTCTGCAAGAGTGAACTGTTTGCGTTACAACGCATGCAGGATTTTCTCCCGTTTTTTGCAAAAACGTTCGAACCCGCCCATAAGCAACCCTCGCGGTCTATAAGACCCCGCTGACTAGCCCACCCTCACCCTCACCTTCACCAGTCTCCTCCAAGCTACGAGGAGCAACTTAGAAAAAATTTTCTAAGTGACTCCATAGTGGAAAAGCAACCATTGATATAGATATAAGGCTGCACAAATTCCGCTTTTTCAAGTTATACACTAAATATGATGACTCATCGATGAGTCATCATATTTCACCCACCCAAAAAGCGCACTTTTCTGCAGAAATCGTGAAAAAAATTTGACATGGGTTAAATACAAGTACATATTAGGTTTATTTGGCGAAAAAACGCAAAACTTTTACTAATTTTGGACTAATACAAAATTTTGTAAATATTTGGTTGAATATTTTTGCAAAACGTTGTTTCTGGCAAAAATCCGCAATAAATTTGTCATATTTTTTGCAAAAACAAAATTTTGCGAAAAGTAACAAAAAAATTATCGACAAAATTCTGCGTTAGTTGACCTTTTTGCAAAATTTTGTATGCAAGTCGCTCTTTTCTGCGTTATTTTAAAGTTTAACGCAGAAATTAACTGAAAAATTTCTACATGGGCGTTGTTCGTTTCATTATCACTATGGGTGAAGTTGAAGTTTTGAAAGATTCAAACATGTTTCAGAGCATTTCAAAGATGATTCCAAGATCAGCAAGTGTAGTGTGGTTCGTAAGTTGTACATCTTCTAGTTTGATTGACGAGAGAATTACGTTCTTCCAGGAAAGTCTAACTAGAGTCGTTTCGATACCATCTAGCAGATAAACCGGTATATGGATAGGGAGACAACGAGGAACACTTAGTACTTCTAGACGGTGACTTTGCAGATGTGTTCAAATCCTAAACAATCACCAAGGTTTAAAACATTTTAGGAACACAAATTTCTTACGAGGACCCCCCTTTTCGGGGTTTATCGCGAACGGATTTATGAAAAATTCTGAAATTTTCAGGGTATACAGATCTTAGATAGTAGAGTAAAAGCTGTGCTAGACTCGACTTTCCCAAATGCTTCCGTCTATGAGATATAGGGGACCCAAGTGCTAAAAATCAGCTGAAATTTTCCCCCCACCATTCTTTCAATAAGCATCCGTTCTCGCTGAAACTTTTTCTGTAGCAACTTAGATCAAATTAGAGTGCCTATTATTATTATAAAAAAGGCACTTAGAATTGTTTGAAGTTGATATAGAAAAAGTTTCAGCTCAACCGGACTTTGTGCGTGGGAGAAAAAGGGGGAAAACTTCTATTTTTTCTTCAAAATTTCATTTTGAGAAAAATGTAAAACAAAATCAACTTTTTCAGGTTTTTCGCATAATTTCGTGTTTTTTTCGTACGTTTTCACGTCTATACGTAGACTTTTTATTCTCAGAATGTGTTTACTACTTAGAGGGCACTTCGGTCCATATAATGAAGGGGTAAAATCGAAAACGAAAAATGGAAATTTTTGGGTCCGGAAAGGGGTGGGTGTCCCCTTAAAACGTTCAATGAGCCAGAGAATAATAAATATTCAAGATTGAATAAATGATGGTTCTTGAAATATGTTGCGGAGAGAGAGACCGAATTGTTTCTTCCCTTCTTTTCACACTCCAGGCATTCATCCTAAAGCATTGCTCATTCAAGCACATTAGCATCCACAATTCTGGTGGTCGCAAAAAGCAAGAAAGCTTCTCCGAGTGTTCGTCACTGTTTTCGGAATCGACAAACTATTTCAACTCTCATATGAAATATTTCAACACTCAGTGTCCGACATTCTGTCAGGATAAGGAAAGCTTCTTCATACGGTATGTTTATTGAGTGCTTTTATTCGATCCTGAAATATGCTTGTACGAAACTAACGGGTGTTCCAGAATAAATCGGTCATTTAGTATTTTGCTTGTATCTCAGTTAGATTTTATCCCACACGCTTATTATTTTTTTAAAAAGATGCGCCGTAAAATTCTCTACAAAATGGTATTTTATTTGCTTTAAATGTATTCTAGATAAATCCTTGACAAAATGAAAAGTAAAGACGTTCGAAATATTGTACTTTGCAAACATCAATCCGGTGATCATCCGCGAAAAATTTTTTCGTGATCTGAATGGCTCTTTATCACTTGATACAATTCAAAGATGGGTAAAAATGATTAATGAAACCGGCTCTATTGATTTATCAAAATCACCAGGACCCCACGCACCGCTCGTTCAAAAATAACTATAAGAAAAGTCAAACAACGGTTAATTCGTAAAAGAGAGTATCCGTACGGAAGTTGGCGCGCGAACTAAACATATCAGCTACCAGTGCTCATCGAATATTAACGGATGATCTCGGATGTTATGCTTACAAAATTGTCAAAGAACCAGCCATGACAGATCAGCAGAAAGTCAACAGGAGAAAATTTGCTACATGGATTCAACGGACGTTCAGAAAAGAGGACACGAGAAAAATATTGTTTTCAGACGAAAAGTATTTCGATGTCGATGGTGTTTATAATTCGCAAACTGATCGAATATGGGCCATAAATCATACAGAGGCTGATAAACGAGATGGTGTGAAGAAAAAAAATCAGTTTCCAACAAAAGTAATGGTTTGGCTCGGAGCATGCTCAAAAGGTATGACAACATTGGTGATCTTGGATGAAGGTTCGGTTGATCATGTAAAATATATCGAACGAGTTCTTCCTGTGGCCAAGAAATGTGGTGACGAGATGATGGGTAATGATTGGATATTTCAACAGGACAATGCACCGGCCCATAACGATAGTGAAACTCATCAATGGTGTCGCGATAATTTACCATCATTTATTCCACGCGAGCGTTGGCCTGCTAACAGTCCGAATTTCAATCCTTTAGATTATTGTTTAATTCGTTCGGAATGAATTCGTTCAGGCAATCAATTGGAGTAAAGTCAAAACAAAACTAACGTTAATTGACGAATTAAAACGAGCAGTGAAAAAAATTAGAGCGGAAGTTGTTGTGCAAAGTGTAGAAGATTTTAGTAAACGAATGTATCGTGTTTTGCAAAATGATGGAGATTATTTACGTTGAATAAAAAATACCATCTTGCAGAGAATTTTACGGCGCATCTTTTAAAAAAATAATAAGCATGTGGGATAAAATCTAATTGAGATACAAGCAAAATACTAAGTGACCGATTTATTCTGGAACACCCGTTAGACAACAGGTTCCGATCTCCAATCTCTTTCGCGTGGCAGTTTCAGTTCATTCTTAGTGTTATTTAGTGAGCAGAGCCGATAGTCGATCAAGGTCGCATTTCCGTCGTTCATCTATGAAAGAATTCATCCAATCACTAACATATTTGTTGAATCTTCCTCGAGGTAGAGGTTCTTCGATGTGTTTGTCATCAAGGTCGAATTTTTACTTTTTTTTTGTTTTCAATATCACTTATTTTCTCATTCGAACTGATATCTTTATTGCTTTATGCCACTCTTTCGAATAGGTAGTAACACACAAGAGAAGAATATACACTTTTCTCTTTTTGTTCTGCACTATAAAATTTCATTTGATTAAGGATCATATAATTCATTTCTTTGAAAAATCTGCGCATCAAAGAGAAAAAAGCAACATGGATCTAACAGAACAGGAGAGTAATAATCAACAGCATCTGTTAGTGCCTTCATCTGCTATTAACGGTGGCAATGTTGTAAAGAGTCGACGTAGTTCATCTATACTCGTAGTAATAGAGCCGATTCTGTTAGTAGCAGAAGAAGAAGTCGGTGATGGTGAAATGGCAGCTGCGTCGAAACCGTTTCCTCTGTCTGGCATTCTATACGGTCTTCTAGCATGCGTTCTCTTCGTCACACCTACATTCATTATAAAAGAATTGGAAATTGATCTACTCGATGCACTTATCACACGTTTAATCGTACAGATTTCTTTGTTTGCAGTCTTCGTCATTTACCATCACTATCCAATATGGGTAGGCTCATCAAAAGAAAAATGGTTACAGTTTGTCTTATGTATTTTAAATGGTTTCATCTTTCTCGGATATTGTATTAGTGTTCGTTACATTCCTCTGCCTGATTTGACAACACTCAACTTTACACGTTTATTATGGACGGTTGCCCTTGGTATGCTCATCTATAAAGAGAAACCGACAGTGATGATTCTCTTATCTGTTTGCTTTACTCTTATCGGCGTCGTATTCGTCGCTCAACCAACATTTCTCTTTAAACAGAAGAATATAGCGAAGACTCCTCTAAATATAACAGAAGCAACATTAAATGGGACGGACATAGCGAACACATATTCGTTTAACAGTCGAATGATTGGCATCTCTCTTTCGCTAGCGACAGGTCTTCTATCTGCATTCAATCTTCTAATCTTTAAACAATTGATAACTATAAAACTTAAACCGAGTATTTTAATTCTCCAACATTCGTTTGTCTTTCTTCTATGTCTTATACTCAATCAATTTTATAAATATTTTCTACTAAATGATGTGACATTGTTTACATTGACAATCTTTCAGTGGAAATATTGGTTAGCTACATTAACTAGTCTACTACAAACACTTGGAGTAATCTGTGGAAATCGTGCTGTAAAACGTGAACCACCATCTGTTGTTACAATTGTCCAAGCATCAGATATTATCTATGCTATTCTTCTACAGAATTTATTTACAAAGAATAAGTCAAATTTATGGGTTTTAATTGGGAGTGCACTGGTTATATCGAGTGTTTTACTCATCGGTGTACGCAAATTTGTGCAAGAACGAAAGACTAAGAAGAAAAAGATTGAGGATGGGAATAGTGTTAAGAACTGAGAAGAAATTTTAAAAAGAACTTGTCTTGTCATGCACCAGTGCGTTATTTTTTTCTCCTTTTTTCTGAAGATGAGCGAGTAATCAGCGGTATACAAAAAGCTATGTCGACTGTCGCTACTAGAGACACATTCTCTAATTGCGGCAGCCGACGAAAAAAGTTAACCTAATAGCTACAGTCAAGCAGAGGGCAAGGAAGAAGAGGGTCGTTCGTGTAATTGAATCAAATGCTTGTTTTTTCTTACCAAAGATTCTTTTCTTTCACGATAGGGAATGAGTACCCCTGAGAATGAACTTTCATAATCGCACATGTATTCATCTTCACCGAAGAGACATTCGAAATCTCCGTTGTAGCGATCACGTCTGATACATCTTCCATCGAAACATAGAAAATCTTTCAACTCAAAACAGTTTAATGGGCTCTGTTGAGGAAGGCACCAATCATCATTAACTGTTCGATTTGGACATCGATAATTAACCCCCCAGCAATTGTATATACGTTGGAGCTTGTTCGAGGAAGCAGTTTAGAACATGTCAGGAAATCAAAAACTCCAACATACCGTTCTTTAGGACGCCTTCTAACAGCCTTGGAGGACCCAGGGACCCTTTTAGCGTTCTTTTGGAACGCGTTCTAATAGTTCTAGAACGGGTTTCTTTCGTACGCGTTCTTCTCAATTCGGAACAGGTTCGAAAAGAACGCGTTTTTGTTGCCTAAGAACTATTTTTTTCGAACATGTTCCTGGTGAAGAGGAACGCATTTTTTTCTCCAAAAAAAAACGCATTCTTTCGAGGGAACAACACGTTCTAAAAGAATGCTAAAAGCGTCTCCAGGACGCGTTCTTCACCGTTCTTTGTTGACAACTTTTTTTCATGGGTTTCGAAAATTATCCAACCCTGCGTAAACTTCTGAGTTGTTTGGTCGTAGGGGTCGCTTGTCCTCTTTTATGTCAAAATTTATATATATATATTGATAAGATAGAAATTCCAGTTATTTTAGTAGCCTCGTTTCGAATCTCTTGTCGTTTTAGATTGAAAACTGAAAATTTTCGGAATTGACTTTTTTGGAAAGCTGGACGTTCCTCGGAGCGGTGCGTTTATTTAACGATTGCATCGATTATTTTAATTGTGATGGTCTTTGTCTTTGTTTCTTATATCAGTTCCAGTGGCGTAGGCAGCCATGGGCCATTGGACAATTATCCACAGTTCTAAAAGTTATGGCCCACGGATTATTTGAGATAGTGATAACTGTCCACTGTCGAAACATTTCGATGAACACACATGTTCGAAAACTTTATTGGTGAGATTTTGATGCTTTGCCTCTTGTCGTGATATAATCAAGAAGTATCGACTGCTCGAGGAATGTTTCTCAAAGTACTGTTGTTTCAGGCACACTTTTCTTGCAAGTTTTGAAAAATGTTCGCTTCGCAATAAGGTTTTTTCAAATATTCTTCAGCTTGATTAATCGTGTAATCGTTTCGGTTTCCAAAATAATATATGTTTTCATTTCTTTGAAGTGCCATTGAGAAAGAGAAAGTATTATATTCGTTTAAATCAATGTTCAACTTTCAAACAGAAAAGTGAGCGTGTAGGCGCCTTCGGCGGCTGAGAATCAAATAAAGGAAATTTTTTTGCTATTAATACTTGAAAAATCGAGTTCCCATTTCACTGAATTCTAAAACTTTCCGATCAAACGTATTGTTGCGCTCCGAAAAGCGGCTGCCTTCGGTGATATGTTCTTCTCCAAAAGATACTGAATTAATAAGTCTAATAGGACCATTTCGCCGTCCCAAAAGTGTAGATTGCCAACAAGTGAGAAAAATTTCACTGCGCGGTATTTTTCAAGGGTATTTTTCAAGGGCGCGGTAGGTTTTCGAATATGATCTTTTGAATAGTGAGGTTCTCGAAATGCAAAAATATTTTTTATGGATTTTCCAGAGATCCGGTCTCCAGAAAACCCACAAGGAATTACTTTTGAGTACTGAAAATCTTATCATTAGAAAGAGCATATTCGAAAACCTATAGAAGAACGTGTTTATAGGCTTTCATACCACTCCTACAGCATATGTCAGCCTGCTCTATAGAAAAATGCCCACTGTGTATACGTCAGAAGGAAACTTCGATCTAAAAGAGAGAAAGGGAGTAAAATGACATTGTAGTCGATGAGAACGGGCTGTGAGACAGTAATTCGTGGTACATGATGTTCTCGTTTTCTCTTTGATTTACTTCTATGGTCGACTGGAAGATGAGAGCCGTGAAACAATTGTTAGTGAAAATGAACAAGTGGAATGTAGATAACTTTTCGAACTGGTTAGTATCCTCTCGTTCGGCCTGCATCAGTCATAAAGGCATGTTGAAAAGTTGTTCTAGACCACAATTGTATCCAGAATAGGGATGGATCGGTGTCAGTTTACTGATCACTGGTGACACCGACACTGATCCCACTGACAACACCGACACACTGACACTGATCGCACTGAAACATAAGAACTCGGAGTCATGACGCGATTCCTCTTCACACGTCGTCCAAGCGCGGCACGAATACTGTCAGTTTTGGCTGTATTCAAAACTGAACAGCTGCATGAACAAATGCGCGATCATTAAAGTTCATGACTGTACGGGCATCGTTCTGCAAAAGGTTGGATGATGACGACAGGTGAGGCGAAACTTGATTATTCCTGTGGAGGAACATCACAGAGCAAGGCCTTTGTTTAGCTGCTACTGGAAGACATCTAGATGTCCAAAAATCAGTGAACGATTATCGTCATTTACTCTGAATACTCTTTCACTGACCAATCTCTGACCGACTAACTACTATGCAAAATTGTTTCTACAATAGGCACATCGATGAATGTCGACTGCTGCCATGTTGTTTCGTTCGCGACGTTGCGAAGGTTTCTTTCTCATTTTTTCCATATCATTTGAATATGTGCTGCACGGAGCAAGGAATGTAAACATCACGCAATGTTTATTCAGTCTTATTAGCAACCCACAACGATGGACGTCCTTCAAAAATGCGCAGATACGCAATTAACAGTCCGGCGAGTGAAAAAAGCTCTTGAAGTCACTGTCACTTTTAGAAGGAGATTGCAAGAGAAAGGTGGAGTATAGCTCACTTTAAATCTTGACGAAATATAATCATGATGCAGCAGATTCCATTGAAGGAAAGATGGTTACTTATGTTTTGTTTATATAAGAGACATAGTTGGAAGCACTACCAACGCGAACGATGAATAATAAAAGCATGCAATTTTGCTTTGTCGCAGAATTATTTGACGGGAATATTTTTTGTCAAGATCTGAGGAATAACTTCGATCTAGTCGCATTATGGGTTTGATCTTAGATGAATAAAAAAAGTTGAGCTTTGGAGAAGATGGTTGAAAACAATTTGAGCGAGTTGATCTTATGAAAATGATTTTATGTTGTGGGTGAAAATTTGATTTTAATTTTGAGTTAACATTTCGCTTGATGGTTTCTATCGAGTGTTGAATTTAGAGCATAGACGAGCACAGGACATGTTTTTTCGTTCTGCCCTGACCTGTGTCCTGTTCTGCTCCGTCCTGCCGCACGGCAGGGCAGGACAAGATTTGCTTCTTCGCCCTGTCCTGTACCACGACAGGACACAGGACAGGGACAATCTTTACACTGAAAGATTGTCAATGTAAACAATGTCACATCATTTAGTAGAAAATATTTATAAAATTGATTGAGTATAAGACATAGAAGAAAGACAAATGAATGTTGGAGAATTAAAATCCTGAAGGACAGAAAGACTTGACCTTCTTTACCAGAAGTAACAGAATACTTCTCTTATAACATTCAAATCACAACGAGTTTGTTTTCATATCCAATTCAAATAGAACACTTATTTTCAATACAGTTTGAAAGTATCAACAACAAAAAGAATGAAGACAACAGCTTTTAGTTAATTCACTTCAAGGAAAACAAAGCCAAAATCAAAACGTGAATCACCATCAGAGACGAGCACAGGGCAGGACGGTCCTGTTCTGTGCTCGTCTCTGATTTAGACAACACTAGAGAAGAGAGAAAAGTCGATTTTGAGTAAAGAAAGAAGATGACCATCGAGGATTGATCGATATGAGATTGAAAGATAATGCAGACGAATCAATCTATTTGCAGCTAAAAAATGAGAAGTATCCAGAATATCGAGAGTAGAAGATGTACAAAGGAGATCCCAAGGCACTACAGGAAGCGAGATCTGAGAAAGAGTAGAGCATGAATGATGATGTCGAGAATAGGTAGCGAATAATAGGAGTGGATAGCGATGGTTATTGGGCTACACTTGGTTTTCATTGATCCATAGTCTAGTGAGCGTAGAATATGTCGAAAAATCGTTTGATAACAAAATCAAGCTATTTTAGAGTGGTGTATAGCAGACACCGACGGTGCACGGTACCAATATCGTACCATATCTCATCGTGCCGTCTCGTGACAGTGCGCGACGGAAGAGGAAAAACTCAAGTAGGGCGAGACGGTACGATATGTGGGACTAAGCACTTGTCCCGCGTAATACCGCCTCTTTCAAAAGAGCGAGAAAGTTGTTTTAATTATGTATTTTGAGTAACATACGTGCACCTTCTTCCTTCCTTGAAACTTGACGAGTACCTCGGTTCCTCGGTTGGCTCATGAGTTCTCTCTTCAGGGAAAGACCGATGAATAGTAGATTATTCATCAGTTTCTAAAATGTGAATCCTACTAAATGATGGCGAAGCTGTCTATCAATTAAGATCAAACTATTCGGAAATTTCTAACCATGTTTTCGGCTAGAATGAAAGTTCTCATTTAACCCTTGGACGGCAAAGCCCGTAAATTTACGGTTTCAAACTGAATAGGGTGATAACGCTTTTATTCACTAGTTTTTTCTGTAGTATTCAGAGATCAATTGATGAAACTCACTAGCGACATGTTGTGACCACTATGGGTCTCTTTCTTAAGGTACTTTCGACGATTCCTACGGAACCAATCATTTTATTTAGTATTTCAGAATGTTCCGTTGAAGTGGTATAAATAGGAATGCCCTTATCGCGTAAATCATATACAGTGATTGAATAAAATTATATTCAAAAAAGAGACGGCAATAATAGTGATTGTTATTACTCAGCTTTATTCGTTACACTGACTCGTTTTGCATATGCTGAAATTTTTTTCTGGATTATTATGGCATCTAGTAGTACAACTGATTCAGATGTTGCTGAAACCTTTACAAATTCTGAATCAGACGATGAATTAGGCACTGATTCTGCTTGCGATTTTGATAATGAATCCGATAATGAAGATGGCGAACAGGATGCACAGGAACCTTTCGAAGAGCGAAGATGGAGAGTGAAGTGGTTTGAGCCGAAAACATTCACATTTGACTCAAGTGCCTCTGGTCTCAATTCATATTTACCAAAAGATAATGAAAATAGACCACTGGATTATTTTCTTTTGATATTTGACCGCGGTCTGATGTAAAAAATTGTTGAAGAAACAAATAAATATCATTTGTACACAGTCCAACACGAAAATCTACCTGAAAGATATCAACAAGCAGTTAAAGCTACCGGATCCGAAATACATATACTTTTTGCAACTTTTATGCTAATGGCCCATACAAGAAAAAGTCGAATAAAAGAATACTGGTCTACTGATCCACTGATCTCTACACCTATGTTTGGAGATATCATGAGTAGAGACAGATTTCATTTGCTTTTGCGATTTCTACACTTCAACGACAATGAATATCAACTATCTGATGATAAACTATATAAAATCAAACCAATAATTACTTGTTTACGGGAGAGATAAGGTGCCGGAAATTCAAAAGTAACTTACAAGGAAACTTACAAGTCTTAGTTCCTTATCAGAATATCTGTATCGATGAAAGTTTGATGTTGTGGAAAGATCGACTTAGTTTCAAACAATACATTCCGTCTAAAAGGAGCAGATTCGGGATCAAAACATACGTAATATGTGATATTCGCACTGGAATGATTCTGGATTTCCTTATTTACACAGGAGCTACATCTGACATAATGCGATTTCCAGATCTCGGAGTTTCTGGTTCAATTGTTATGACTTTGATGCAACCTTATTTAGATAAAGGTCATAATTTATTCTTAAATAGTTGGTTTACAAGTCCTACACTTTTTGAAAAGTTACATACAAGATCCACAGAAGCATGTGGTACTGCAAGAGCAAATAGAGCAGGATTGCGTAAGTTTGAAGATAAACCTAGGAAAGGTCAACAAGTTTATCAAAGCACAGATGACATGCTGGCACTAAAATGGTTTGATAAAAGAGAAGTTATAATGTTACCTACTATCCATGAACCTCGTATAGGATTTACCGGAAAAAATGATCCAAAAACTAAAAGACCAATTCAAAAACCAATTTCAGTAATTGAATTCTAATAGAGGAGCAATCGATAAAGTTGATATGCCAACCAGTTTTGTTGAATGTGTAAGAAAATCTGCCAAATGGTTTAAAAAATTATTTTTTCATATGCTCGATCTGATAGTCCTCAACTCATATTTGCTGTACAAAATGAAAACTGGAAAGAGACCTCAACTGGTAGACTTTCGTTTACAATTTATACGCGAAATTTTACAAACTTATAACTCAAAAACTACAATAGGACGTCCTATACAGGACTAGAAACCAACTAGACTTACTGCTATACACTTTCCTTCTCTTCAGGGTGGCCAGATGAAAAAATTCAAAATCAGAAAAAAAAACTGAAAAATCAGAAAATTTCCCTATCAAAATCAGAAAAAAATCAGAAAGTGGATTTAATGCGGCAACTAGACAAACATGTTTCGTTCAACATATAATTTATCAGTCCTTTTATTGAACTGTATTATCGTTTTATGTAGATAGATATCATGTGGATAATATCGTATCAATAGTAATAATTCGGGCATTCATATGAGAACGAACTAACACGTTTGAAACAGAAGAAATGAAAATCAGGAAAATCAGAAAAAATCAGAAACCAGAAAGCCATCAGAAAAAGTGTTAAAAATCAGAAGATTTGGCCAGCCTGCTTCTCTTGTACCTCAAACAACGGAAAGAAAAAATCCTCAGAAAATTTGTGTCGTATGTGCACATACTAAGAAAAGACCTACAAAAAGAACAGATTCACGTTATATGTGTGCAGATTGTGATGTTGGTCTTTGCGTAGTTGGTTGTTTTGAGGAATTTCACACCTTGTTAAACTTTAAGGTTTGTTCCTTGTCGTGTGCTTTTTTTCACTTCAAAATAAACCGGATGCATCTTTAAATCAACTCTAATAAGTAAAACAGTTGTGATCAGTGCTAACTTTGAAAGTATAATTGATTTTAGCAATTCAACTTCACTTTTTATGGAAAAAAATAAGTCCGCCGTCAAAGGGTTTTAAGGCAGGGTTCGCCAGAAGACCGACCATGTCGGCTGCGGAAAAGTTTTAGATTCTGAATTTGATTATTTCATTCGAAAGCCCTAAAAAGCCAGACTATTATGAAAACCCAAATATGACCCCATTCTGACCGGTCTATGCAAACCGGCGAGGGTCACAATTCTTCAAAGAAAAAGTCGATTTTTTCAATTCTGGTCGTACTTTGCGATTTTCTTGTCCATTGTTTGACGGCTTGAGACGTAAAACGTTTCAAATGATAGAGAAGTTTCTTCTCTACAAAACGGTCTATTTCTATTATTTTTCGAATACCATTTTATATGAGAAAAAGACAGCAGTTGAATTGAATTGAATTTTTTTTTATTTTGCAAGCATGGTTGTTGCAAAGAAAGGCTAGCTTATGCTAATGCAACACCGAAAAAAGTGAAGAAATAAAGAAATACTAAAAGAACAAGTAACAGATAAATTATAAAAGTTGAAGATGCTGCTT